GGATAGCAATGCCCTGATATTCTAGGGTGGTATCCCTGCGGTCAATGTCTGCTTCGATGAGACGATACTGCACGGTGTGGTGCGTGATGAACGCTAGGCCACCACCATTATCTCGCTCGCGATCTCGGCGGTGCACGTTGTACCCGGCACAATTCAACATTGTTGAATTGCTGTGCTACTTCGTCTCTTGGACCGCAGCTATCAATATATCATATCTTACCATGAAGACGGTTATCTCCTCGATCTTGCTCTGAAGCCCGTTAAATTGAAGGAGCTTCATGTGGTTCGGGAGACGTGTGGTGATGCGGGGTGTGAGAGATGTGTGTGGCTGTGACGCCATTGGCTGTGTGCGCTGCTAAGGTGGTTGCCCTGTGGTGGTGGTGGGTGGCGTCGCAGTTGAGATCTGCGACCGAGCAGTGCAACACAGGCCCTCGAGGTTCCTCGTCCAATCTCGCGAGGTGCGCAGACCTGAACATACCCTAAAGTGGCAACAGCCAAGGCAGGTGTTGCACTTGACTGATGTCACATTACGGAATATCCTGGTCTGACATACCGTGCAGATTGTAGGAAGAACCAGGAGTTGTTGGCGGCGGCATGTGGGTAGTGGTACGGATTTTTGTGTTCTGTGGTCTGTCGTGGTTGTGATATGGTCTATTGTGTTGTTATGTTGTTGTGCTGTGGTGATTGTGTAGGGCTGCTCAGGTGGACTGAGGTTGCTCAGGTGGACTGGGGTTAGCCGTGGAGGCCGCTCTGTTTGAGCAGCAGGGGGGCCACATACGGCGTGGTCCACTGCCGATGTGTCCGTAATCCTGAGCAAACCCTAAGGTGACTCCACGCCTCGCAGGCATTACACTTGACTGAGGTGGAGTTGTGGTGTAGTCGCCTCTGGCATACACAGCAGGTGTAGGTTTCTGGCCCTGGGTTTGACTCGATGCCAACCCTGAGCAGAAGAATACGTAGCGAATGTAGCCCTATGGACGAACAACTTCTGAGATACTTCGCCGACCTAAACGGGGTTAGATCGCCGAAACAACAGCCCTTGGTCGGGTAAAACCAGAGTCATTCTGGTACGTAGATCCGGCTGTCGTGGGAATGGCCATCGTCGAGTCGTTTCGTGTGGTGAAGTTTCCAAAAAAATGGGCTCTGAAATGCTATGAGCTCAGCCAGCCAATTTGATGAGTAACGTGTCGAAATTATTAAGTCAATTTTTTCTAAGCATATGTTGTTAGTTATATTTTATTGATGATGTTAATATGTATGTAATATATATTACAAAAGGGATATTGAATGCACCCAATTTAAAAATCCATATATATGTACATATATGTAGTAGTAGAAAGTCTATTCCCTATAAACTAACTTATTTATAACATTTATTCATGTGATGTTAATCTATTACGTCAAGAGCTTTATTATTTTCCATTCATGCATACTTTAATGTATTAGTATGTTATTGCTCAAACAAATAACTAACTGGTAATGTTCACAACATTCACATATTAAAAAGGTATTATCTGCGATAAACCGTTTTACTTTAGACCATAGTCATAAAAATTTTTGAATTAAATCGTTTTGTATGTATGTATGTGCATTGTCAAATAGAAATGTAAGGAATTTCTATATGCATCTAAAATAAGCTTTTAGTAAATACAGCACACACAGCACCTGGGTTCAAGCCCTGGTCAAAGCAACATCGCAAAAAAAAAAGTTTTTTCTTAACAGCGGTCGCCCCTCGGCAAGCAATGGCAAACCTCCGAGTGTATTTCTGCTATGAAAAACAGCTTCTCATAAAAATACAATCGCCGTTCGGAGTCGCCGTAAAACCGTAGGTCCCTCCGCTTTGTGTGACAACATCAAGGCGCACGCCACAAATCGAGAAGCTCGGCCAAACACTAACATATGTGTAATCGCCAATCTATTATTATTATTATAGTCATCTTGGCCTGTTGTAAAAGGTCTTCAATACCAAAGTTGAAATTGTGCAAGGAAAGTAAGAAACTTTAAAAATTAAAATAACAGATGTTTCAGTTCTGAAGAAATATACATACTCGGCCCAATGCTGAATATCGTCATCGTCATCGTCGACGATCATCAGCGCATGGCTGACGATGGCCGTATCGTCTTTTTTTACTGTCGATGACGATATTCAACATAGGGCAGACAAAACAAAGCTCTTCGTTTTGTAACTCATTGAAATTTAGGGCTTATCAGGGAACCAACTAAAAAATTGTAACTGAAATAAACTGAAGACACACACATTAATAGCAGCCCACGCTTTTCCTCGCGAAGTTGCGCGGGTTTTTCATCCGGAATGGAAACAAATGCTTCTAGACTTGACCCTTCCATTGTGTTCTTGTGCGTCTTTGAATTCATGCCATTCAAGCCATGAGTGCTTAAATTTTCAATTTATTTAAACGTTTTGAAGTTGTGACAATGGAGTCGAATGATTTCTTTGCTTACATTCCAATCTAATAAAAAGAAGCCACTTACTTTGGACCTCTTGCCGTGGTGATACGTTTTCATATGTATGTATGTACCTATGTAGACTTCGAAACATACATCCATATGTGAGTTATTAATTTGCATAAAGCGTTTACCTCTCATGATTAAATATTTCGTCTTTCTCTTATGATTCTTTAAATATTTTAATAGAATACAAACAATCATAATATCTTATGCCGATTTCGTTTCTACCGAAAAATGCAACCTTCTATTTGCCCTCTACGCACAAACACTAAGAAGAGGGCGATGAGAAGCCAAAATTTTTTGTAGAAACTAAATCGCCATTAATTGCGTGAAAGTTTGGTTTCTTACTTAACTTCATTTTCTGGACAAGTTCGAACCAACAAAATATATTAATATTTAAAATTTTGCACGTTTTGACTTACAATTGGGGTCATGAGAGCGAAAGTGGTCTAACCCACAATTTTTTATTTTGGTAAACTTTTCAATAGTTTCTAATGCTATACATTTTAAAATAAAGGTCACTTATTATTTAATTTAATGGTACGCCATGTAGTTTTGTACCTTAATATTAAGGAATGAGCGACTTTTAGTTTTAAATTATCATATTTGAGAATCTTTTAAGTAGGTACCCAGCAAACACAGTGTCTTACGTTAGAGAAATTTGGATTTCTACAATAGATAACTAGGGTAATTCTCTAATCGTTCTCGAGTCGATGACGAAGTTAGAGAACTAAATAAGAATTCGACTCGAGAACGATTAGAGAAACAACGCAAATTTAAATGAATTTAAATAAGCAATATTCCAAATGAATGAATCATAAATTATTTTTAAGTTTAATTAATTCATTATTATTTTATTGCGAATACATTTAATACAAATTTTATAAACAAAGCGTTTTATTTAATAAAGCAAAACAGCAGTTTGAAATACACATTTGAATCCCATTAGAGATCAACAATAGAATCCGATTAGAGAATTAATATTTTCTCGAGTCGAGAACTGTGCCCCATTTTTGTTGAGATGGCTATGATTCTGGATAGTTTTTCCGAGTCGTTCTCTAACGTTTGAGATTCGAGAATGTGGCTAGTTCTCCAATCATTCTGGCTGCGTTTCTTTATACATTCCGGATAATCCCATTTCACAGCCGGAATAAACAGAATGCGTTTGAAATATACGTCAACATATCATCAGGAACGTTCTAAAGAATAAATAAACAAAAAAGTTTATTCCAAACGTTCAGAATGAATAAAGAAATGCAGCCTCTGTAATCGATAACAAACCTCAATGTTTGCTGGGTAAGTACAAAAATAATAATTTTGGGTTAGGCCACTTCTGCTCCCACGGCCTCAGTTAACAAATGCACTGCGAATACGGCATTGCTCTCCTGTAAATAAATGACGACAGTTTTTGGTCCATCCTTGTACAAGCACAATTCAATTTGTGCAGTCCCTGATTTCGGCGTTAAGACCTATACATACTTGTATATATCGATACCTTAATACAGAAGGGCCCTATCTCATATTCATTTCGAATCCAGATTTATACAAAATCTGTCAAATAGCTCACAATATATCTTATAGAAATTGAAAACAAATGTTACAGCGTTAGATAAAATACTATTATGTTAAATAAAAATCAGCACTTCGACGAAATTCGTAACTGTAGAACCTTGCTTTTCATACAATTTTCAAGCTATGTTTGAAGGGACAAAAATGTAATTAAGGTAACGATATACATACATATGTATGTATGTAAACCAATAATTGATTGAAAACTATGGTGTAATCGAGTTTTTTATCGGTGAACTATTCGAAGTTTTATTGTTATTCAAATTGTCGTTTTGATTTTAATTTCTATCATTTTCTTTGTTCAATAGAAAAATATGTAAATTGAGTTTTATCCATAAATACAAGTATTCTCTTCTATGTAGTATCATTTTAATTTGGGTATAATAATACATTCGATAAATATGGCTCTGGCGAGTGATTAGAAGGCTACTAAACTCACTACCACGTAAAATTTTGACTTTAGCCAATATTATTTTTTCATGTCGTACATATACATATGTATGTATGTATATACATGTGTTTACGTTTTCAAGCCCGCAAGCGTTTCGTAAATATTTTTAAGTTTCCTTTTTTTGGAAAATAGGAATTTTTCGAACTTAAAGCTAAAATTCTTTAAATAAATCTTAATTAATAAATTATATATTAAAGCGGTAACTAATCAAATAAGCATATTGCATTTATAGCTGCTTAAGCCATAGTAAACATAAAAAATGAGATAAATTATTTTACTGTAAATTCTAGTCATAGTAATGCAGGCATACAGTGCAGACGTTTAAACGTTCATCATACATTTGTGAAATTATAAATGTATAATTATATTGGGGCATATTCTTGTTTTCGTAGGAATTTTCCTATCATTCTCTACACAATGCGGTGTATTCTGGATTTCGTACGAATCGAAAATTTGAAATTTTTATATAGAAAATGATAGGACAATTTCATGATTTTCGATTCGTACGAAAACAAGAATACGCTCCCATAATTTCAAATTTTCGATTCGCACGAAAACAAGAATACGCCTCATTGATTTTCTTTTTTCATCAGTGAAACATAATCATCGGTATAAATTGCAGCTCTTGTAAAAGTTACTAAAAATTATTATTAAAACGGGTAAATACATGAGACCGCTTCCGTATATTTTTTATTATTATGTTCAACAGTCTCCGCACTGTTGTTTTTATTGCTTCTCTATCGGCTCATACTGTCTCCCATCCGTTTCTTTTTACCATAATCGTTTACACTCAAAACTCCAACTGCATACCGACTTGCATTAAATCCTATATTTGCCGCTCATCTTTTGCTGTTAATTTATCAATGAGTTCCTGCAGTGGTGCCAATTCGCGGCGGTCAATTAAATTGAATTCTTGGACAAAGAATATGAAATGCTTAAAGGATGTGTTCAGATGTGCCTCTTCACCCAGTGTTACGACCTCTGAGAAATGTTGATGGTAAATATGCGCATAAACACGAAACAGTCGCTTTAAAATGGTCTTAGCTATGCTGAGGAAATTCTTTGGGAATGGTATGCCGATTTTCGATGGGAATAGTGTCTCATCGTCGAGTTGATCTTGCACCCATGTCATAAGATAATCAATGTATTTCGGGGCACTACATTTAATCGGCTTCTTGACGGTAAGTCCATCCGCCCAGTGATATTCATATTTTGGTCCGGCTGACATGATAACACAACTTTCTTCGGTACAAAATTCAGTGATGGTACCGTACAACATATTGATTTGATTGAAGAAATCGACAGCTGCAAATAAGATATTTGGAATAACATTATATTTATCTACATACATAGAGAGCATATTTTATTAGAAAAGAAAACAACGTACTATTTACTGCGACCCACTCGTTGAGATCTTCACCGTCTGGCAAGGCGACAGCATTTCGTAAGTTTCCTGAACCTAACGTTGCTGCCGCATGTTTCATTAAATCATATTGGTGGGTACCTTCTGGTATATTTTTCTTGGGTTTAAAGGTTTTGCTAGAGCGTGATCCACTAAATAAAGTT